TAGATAAAGTGCTGATGAAGAAATAAAGGTTTTGTTTTTTTTCTTCTTTTTTTAAAAAGCCCATATCTCTATTTCTATCTATTTAATAATACATTTATTTGTAGATCTAGCCGTATTATTGCAATTTAGAAATTTAGATATAGTACGCCACGGCGCCCATGTAAAAAAACAACAACAAAAACCAAGCCTCGCCTTTCGCGTATGAAAGAGAGAGAAAACATGCCTAGCCCATGATTGCTTTAGCATGAACTCCTTCACACAACTTGCCACATAAAACATGGCGAACGCCGCTGTCAAATGTGGCCATCGCGCAGCAAGGCGAGAGAGGGGCGTACTGTATCTATGGGTACCCATGACTGCAGGGTGGGCAGGAGGGGGGGGCAAAAAAATTCTCGTGTCCGAACCGAGGCTCGAACCCGGACTTTTTGCTTCGGAGACGAGCGCACTAACCGCTCCGAAACTGCACCCTAATATTTATTTAATTAACGCAATTCTCATTAACTGTCACCGTTTTTTATTCTTCCCTTTTTCGTTTTTTTTTTTTTTTTTTTCTTTCTGTCCCGTCCAGCCAAAAGCCCCCGGTTCAAATCCTGCCCGGGGACGAGATCAAGACAACGTGTGTGTTCAACTCTCTCTCCTCTGACCGCTGGGTCTACTATGGCGACGGTACCAACGACGAGATGTGTTTTGGCTTCTTGACCATATACCCCAGGGACGCTGTGCCTTACATTGACTGTACGTTGAAAAAAACAAAAAAACAGGAAAAATTGACCCTTGTGCAATTTCTATTGATTTAATTTTTTGCGGTTTTTTAAAAATAATAATAATAATTGCATTTATATAGCGCATATCCATGCTCAAGAGCATGCTCTATGCGCTTTACAACTATTATTACCCCAGCAGACCCTCTGAGAACACTCAGAAACATTCTCAGCTTCCGAGGAAGCATACAGTGCAAGCTGCGGATTTCACGCGCTCAAACACTATCAAACTGACAAGATCTTTCACTGTCTATAGCCGGGTACCCATTTCCACCTGGGTGAAGTGAGGAAAATGTGTGCAAAGTGCCTTTCCCAAGGACACAACGTCGGGCCGTTGACGGGATTCGAACCCACGACCTTACGGTTGCGAGTCCGAGAGCCTAACCACTAGGCCACCGACGTCTTCTGTTTGTTGCTGTTTGTTTTGGGGGATGGAGGGAGTGTTGTTTTGTTTTTACGTATTATTTTATCGGAGAGGTGGGGGCTCCACACATTTATATCTATTTAATATTTGTGCAACACATTTCTGTGTGGATTTTACTTAAAGACGTTGATCATGGACACAAAACTTAATGAAAACAGTTCACTTTCCTTCAACACTGTTATTGATACCTGTCTTACTGCTTCCCTTACTACATGACCCTTATTGTGTCGATGTGCTTTGCGTCACTCAAACACCCACATTATAAGAAAAATATGTTGTTAGCCATGTAAAACTTAACCGATACTTATTTAAACATCACTGACGATGGTTCCCCCTCCTTCTCCCCACTCCCCTCTCTCTCTCTCTCTCTCTCTCTCTCTCTCTCTCTCTCTCTCTCTCTCTCTCTCTCTCTCTCTCTCTCTCCCTCTCTTCCCCCCACCCCTGCGCAGCTTGTGTGAGTTTTGGTCCCGCCTCCACGTGTGAGCTCTATGGTCAGCAAAAACCAGTGTTCAACGGGTCAAATAGTTAGATGGGTCAGATTGCCAGACTGCGGGAGGACCTGGAAAGGTTATAGGGGTGTCTAGATGGCTAAAACCTGGACGGATTCTGCAGGTCAGCTGATGGGTCAAGGGGTCAGAAGTATCAAGGTTATAGGGGTGTCTAGATGGCTAAAGATGGGTCAAATAGTTAGATGGGTCAGATTGCCAGACTGCGGGAGGACCTGGAAAGGTTATAGGGGTGTCTAGATGGCTAAAGATGGGTCAAATAGTTAGATGGGTCAGATTGCCAGACTGCGGGAGGACCTGGAAAGGTTATAGGGGTGTCTAGATGGCTAAAGATGGGTCCGATAGTTAGATGGGTCAGATTGCCAGACTGCGGGAGGACCTGGAAAAGAACTGTAGCTAGGACGGTTCTGCAGGTGAGATGGGTCGTAGGGTTCACAGTGCTCAACTGTTGGGTGGATCAGTCCGTCAATCGGATGGCTCAACCGTTCAGGGCATCACAGGTTCAAGCTTATGGTTGGGGAGTCGGGGTCTGTGATTGACATAAAGATATGTAACATTCCAGTCTCATTGGAAGATGTGACAGTTCATTGCTCGAACACGAGTAGGGTTTACATGGTCACAACATAGGCTAGACCCGTCATGGGCTAGGTATGGGATGGAAATAGACCTTCCCAGAGATTTGTCACATGGTAACAATGGCATATGGGGCCCATTTGCTACCCCACATTGGCCCCTTATTGGGTTCATCTATTTGTATTAGCTGGTAAGTGATTATAGTGATGATTAGTAAATGCTTATTTTGTGTATTTGCTTTTCTTTACGGGCATCTGTAATGATATGGATATGCTCCTCTCCGTTCCTTGTAGAATAGAAGACTTGAGTCCTAACCCCTTGTTGATAGGTTTTGTATTTAATACCTCTGTCTATATGCTGAACCGTTATTATATTCCACTTTGTCTGTGTTAGACATGATAGGCAGGGTTTGACTTTTTGTTTCCAACCTGAGAGTGGTGTCAGTTCAAAGTTAGTGTTGGGAGATCTGGCGCGTGCTTGTTGGTTGGCTGGGAGACCGAGGGTGTCAGAAGTTGGGGAACTCGGGTGGTGGAGCACACTGGAGCTGTTCCCTCTTCTCGAGGTGACCCTGTTAAGCCTAGACGTCGCGGTCCAGGAACAGAATACGAAAGATCTGAAGGAGACAACCTTGATAAAAATTCCCTAAGCCTAAGGAGGTCGAGGGTGGAATCCAGGAGCATGACCTGTCGACAGCGCCTCCAAGTATCCATGGAGGACATGGACCCAAGCTTACGGTGTCATCTTCGTGCCTATAAGCTGCATGGCTGTGGGGAGTACAGTCACGAAAGAAGAATGTCTGGCGTGCGAGCGGGGTGGCACCAGGCGGACAGACTTTCTGGTTCCCAGCCCCTTGTCTAGTATGAGGCTCTACTAGATGGATAGGATGCTTCCTCAGTATTTTGCAAACCCACAATGAAAGATCTAATTATAGTATTAATAAACAGGGTTATCGCAGGAGCTACGGTGTTCGTGCTCTTTGCTCGAGCTCCTCTTCAGGAATAAAACCAAAAAGAAAACGGGGGAAAAGGGGGTGGGAGGGGGAAAAGAAAAGGGCGGGAGCTAGAAAGACACAGTTAATGAGTCAGCGGTTGGGAAAGAGTAATGCTAGGATTCTCTATTGGAATTGTCGTTGTCTGTATGCAGCAGAGAGTGCTCTTGGCTGAAGCCCTATGTTACGGAATAAACATCTTATGCCTCCAAGAAACCAGACTAGGGGACAGGAACTTCAATGTTGCCGACTTTGCAACGACTCTTTAAAACAGGGAAGGGCATGGACAGGTCACCCTGATACGATCAGCAATCAAACATCAGGAATTAGATGTGAGTTGATGGGTGTCAGAAAACCTACACCTGCATGCAGTGGAGCTCACTGACCAGCCTGTAAGAAATCCTATACAGCATAGAGTAGAGGCACAGCAGCCACCCTGGTGGAATGAAGAGACTGGGGCATTGTGGAAGATCAAACGCCAGGCGCTGAGAAGACACGAGAGGAACAGGTCAAACGTGCAGCTGAAAGCTGAGAAAAAGCTAGCAGATCTCAGATTCGATGAGGCAGCAAAAGAAGCCAAAGACCTAGCATATGACAACTTCTGCCATGGCATGAACAGCGACAGGGCCCTGTATCAGTTTTGGAACTTCTACAGGTGCATGACTAATAGGAAGAGCAAACAAGCTATCCCTGATTTCCAACGAGAGGATGATATGTGGATGCGCACTGATGACGAAAAAGACCTTGCTCTGTTCAAGAGATACCTAATACAAACTGACAGGAAAGATGAGGACAAGAGAAAATAGCTGTTCAACAGGATCCAACAGGACTACAAAGATGAGCCCTGTCTACAATTTGTGACACACGGAATGTTACATAAATATGTCCAGAAAACATCCTACACTTCTCATGGTCCTGACGGAGTACGTTATGGCCACATAAAGAACATGGAGGAAAGAAAGACAATGGCACTAGCCTAGAGGCTAAACGAAAGCCTGTGGACTGGGGAGATACCTGAAGACTGGCTGGACAGTCACCTGTCCCCAGTTCCTAAGCCAGACAAGGACCCAAGCAAGATTGCCTCATATCGCATAGTGACCATGCAAAATATCGTCGGGAAGCTGCTGGAGAAAATCGTGGCACACAGATTGGCAATAGAGCTGGAGGAAAAGAACGTCCTACCGCCGGAACTGGGCAGCTATAGAAGCTATAGAAGAGGAAAAATCACATGGATGAATGCTGCCACTTTTGCATCCGACGTGTATGATGGCTTCGAACGGGTTGGGGGGGGGAGGGAGAAACTCTGGCGAAGCACTTGACCTGGAGGATGCCTACAACAGAGTTCAGTACGATACCCTCATGGGGACTCTAGTCAACCTGAGGGTAGATTCACATTTAGTGCAATAGATTGGGGCAGCGCTGCTCAAACAAAAGGTAGCACTACGTCTTGGTAGCTGGGCTTCACAACCAACGAGATCACACCAGGCTTACCACAGGGATCTGCACTCTCGCCGGTTCTGTTCAACGTCTATACAATTGGGGTAACATTCAACCAGCAGGAAGGGCCCGGACGTGTGCTCAGTTTTGCTGATGATGTGCTGGTGTACAGGCAAGGCAAGAACCACCAGATTACAGCGTAGACAGTACAGGGAGAACTCGACAGACTTGGACTGTGGTGTGAAGTGAACAACGGGAAACTGCACCCAGACAAAGCCTGCGCACTGTCGTGTACATTGAATAATAATGCAGTGCACGATGATATGCCAAGTATCTCGATTGGGAGGCAAAGTGCTGAAGAGGGAACTCACACTGAAGTACTTGGGCATCACGTTTGATCGCACCCTCTCTGACAAAGATCACATCACGAGAGCAATCTCCAGGGCGAGAAAAGGCCTAACAGCCCTTAAAATGGTGGCCAGAGCTAAGATGAGGTAGAAAATCCTTGTCATTCTCTACCAGACACTAGTACTCTCTGTCGTAGAGTACGGGCTCGGACTATCAAAGGCGCAACTGCAACGACTCTAGGTGTTACAAAATGAAGTAATGAGGGCAATCCTGGGGTGCACACGAGACACCTCAGCTGAAGCAATGAAATACTTTCTAGACTTCCCATGTGCAGACGAGAGGCACAATCTGGCACAAGTCCAAGCCTTTCTGCAAGTCAGCGCAGACGAGACGAACCCTTTACATAAGAAAGTGGGACGGCAGATGACATCAAGACTAAAGAGGGGCATAGAATGGATGACTCAAGCCACGAACACCATCAACGAGTGCTGCCAGATACAAGATATCAGGAGAGGCAGGGATTGGGTCGTGGTCGAAGATGCGCTCGGAGAGTACACAACAGTGAAGGAAACATTGGGTAGAGAATGTCGCACTGGCCACTTGGAGCTACAAACGCTGAAATTGAAACTCTGATAGAAGAGCATAGCGAACATGGAGATGCTGTGATCTTCACGGATGGATCAGCCGTCCGAGAAGTCAAATCGGGCTGGGCCTTCAGTGTCAGAGTTGATGGGGTAGTTGTGAAAGAGCAAAGTGGAGCAACTGCACTGACAACATCCAGTATGAGTATGGAGATAAAATCCATAAACGAGGCTCTACACTGGATCAAGAACACAAGCCATCAGGTAGCAGTAATCATTACTGACTCTATGAGCACAATACAGAAGGTACAGAAAGGGATGCTGTATGCGGACTGGAAGGCTACTATCAGGGAGAGCAGCCTGGAAAAAGTGGCCTGGATCTTCTGCCTAGTTTTGAGAAATTTGACGTCAAACATTTTGAGTTTCACAACATGTCAAGCTTTTCCAAATGTAATTCTTTGAATATCTTGATAACGACTCCGTATAATCTTTCGATTTAGATAGGGCAGATAGGACATTATATTTCTGACAGCATAGTCTTAGTAACTCAAAACGCCAAAAATTAATGTCTGACTGAACTTTGTAATTCTGGGGTAGCGAAATTATATAAACTAAGTTGATGGGGGCGTAAAGTATTTGCAATGTATCTTGATGAATAAATTACATTTCTATAACTTACACTAAAATTAAGTCTATGTCCGCCTATCTTTCTTTCACTAACCCACAGACCTGAATGGTGGCGTCGGGGGCCTAGTGGTAAGGCTACCGGACGCATATCCGAGGGGTCGGTTCGATCCGACGATGTGTTCTTGGGAAACGTTCTTTACACGAACTTCCTATTTGGCTAGCTCGGTCCTTTGAAGATGGACCTGAAACATGGAGGTCCCGCCTTTTAAATAACCTTATAGTGTTGATAAGGGCGTTAGACCGATACCATTTCACCATTTTTTTTTATACCACAGACCTGAATGCCGAGAAATTACAGACGACCTGAAGAAACACCCGTGCTTTCAAGGAGAGGTCGGTGACCTCGTGAACTCTCTCCTGGCGGAGTACCACGAAGGGGCAGAGTTCCTTGGACGAATCCACTCTTGTCCTGCACGGAGCCAGTATCCAAGCGGAGAGGTAGATTGCCGTAGTCAGTGCGCAGACATCTGCTACAATGACGTCAGAGACAGCGCCCCCGGAAATGCCGCCATGTTGTGGCTGGTTTCCTCAACGTTTGTGTTTGCCCGTCTCATTAGTGTGTTGTAAATCTTCCAAATGTGCGGGAACGAGGCAGACATACACATGGGTGATAACTGCGTGGATTCAAAATAACGCCTTATATATCGGGTTATTCCCCTCTCGCGTTGCTTTATAATAATATTATAATAGTATTATATTCGTGAGCGACTGAGAACTTTATTGATCTCGCGGAATTGACTTTTGTGTTCACAAAACCCTTCCCAGCACACTCCCAAACAGAAAAACTTTTAAAAATAAACTTTATACCTACTTTCACCTTCAAGATTTGATCGTAGTAGAATCATTTGTACTGTCCCTGTCGACATATAATGTTGGCTAATAGTAAAGCTACCCACTTTGCTAAGAAAATAATTAAGCGTGACTCCCAAAAAGGGAAGATAGTTTATATCGTATGCCCATTAATCTGTCGAGATAAACGTAGTCTTCCACTCAGCTTGGGATGCTTCTTCCTTAAATAATTGAGGGTTTCTTACTGTGTATCTATATTGTGTTTATATTTTTTTTAAAGAACCCC